GTTATGTTATGTTATGTGTTGTTATAATTAATATTATTTGTTTACAGCTGTGTTCTTGTATATATGCTCTGGTCTGGGCATCACCGCCGGTGCGCACAGGCTATGGGCTCACAAGTCATACAAAGCTCGCCTGCCACTGCGACTTCTACTTACTCTCTTCAATACCTTGGCCTTCCAAGTAAGTTTCAATTTAAACCTTATTACTATAAGTATACGGATCATGGTCATTGCTTAAGGTGTCTTGGAACAATTAATAAACTTTCGTTGTGGGATGTTAACAAAACTTGAAGACAGTGTCATATCATTGAAATGGTATCTACCACATACTGAAATTCCTCTAAATACGAGATCCAATTTTTCTACCTATAGGGCAATTAATAAGAAAAAGTTTCCATTAGATTCCATTACAGCTAAATACCTAGTCTTATTTCCCTAGTAACTCTAGTAAATTATTGTTAAAGTCGTTCGATTAAGTTATTACTTTTCATTCTATGTAGGTAAGGTACACTTCCCCAATTAATTTCTATCAGACAGGCCGTAAGCTTCTTACCACTTAAGTTACAAAACACCTTCCGGAATTTTTTTGTGGAGACTCAAAAATGACTTTATAAATGATCATTCCTTGTCAAAACGTTTCAAGTAATCGCTAAAAAACGATGTTTGTCATAAATCACGTGTTTCGTAATAATTATCTGATTTATCGAACAAACACGTGCTTGTAATACATACTAGATCACTAAGGTTAGAACGCATAGAAATTGTGTGCGTCAACGATAAGAGTTTACGCACTTATCACGTCACTATATTTTCTATCAAACCAAGGAAATTAATGGAATATTTAATGTCACCTTCAAATAGTTATACAGGTCTAAAATTGTAATGATATAGGATACCATGTCTATATTTAAAGTCAGTTTTCGTATTTTTCACGATCGCTATAACAAAATTGATAACGTAACACCTACGCCTAAAACATTTAAAAATATATTTAGTCTATTGTGTCAAATAATGGATATTTTTTATGTTCTTATATAATTTACTGAAGTGACTGGACAGTTTCTTATATCGGTAATGTTTTGTTAATTTCAAATTTTGACTTTTTTGGGAGAATATTAGAGTTAAAATTGAGTTAATGTATGTACCTTCATAAATTTGCATTTTTCTCTGATAAAGGCCTATACTTGTTTCGTAAATTGGTTAGTACATTAAAACAAAAGAATCCGCCTTCTTAAGATGATTGCACAAATTACCTTTACATTGTTTCAATCACAAAAAATAAGAAAACAACTCCTAAAACGCCATTGTTCTCGTTTATTACATTTTTAACCTTCCTTGCTAGATTTAAACAGCGCATTAACAAATTAAAACATTAATTTACCTAACTAAATTAATCTATGTTCTTGCATGAACATTGAACATGTGCATACCACGCGTGAGAATCTTGTTATCTCGACCACCTCTTGACACCATTATCAATGACTACCCTTTGGCCCTAATTACATTATCAGTCACACGGCAGCCTATAGATCTGCGTGATCGATCACTAGTACTTTCTATAATAAAATGAACATAATTTTATCAGCAGTAATTTACCGAATATTAACTGTGGCATACCCGTTATAATATAAACAATATTAAATGTATCGTGATAACTTTGTGCAATTAAACAAGATTGGTAAATTAATTTTATATCGTAACTGAAATATTATTAGGTGTATTTTAGATCGTTGGTTTAGTAAATGGATCTAACACTGTGTGTCTAGTTTGAGTCTTGAGCTTAGAAAATTTCAACTATTTCAACATGTTCATGTTTATGAAGTAAATGTTAAGAATATGTTATTTAAATTGCAATGTTATTTGATAAACAATTGATAAACATGAAAATGAAGGAAAACTTTCATTTAATATTATAATAGCATTATCTTAGAAATCAATATTTAATATTAGCTAATGATCCGCAAAAGGTTAATGAGGTATTTAAGTACACGAATTTCAAGCGTGATTTGTGTCAAAACGTGCATAAAAACAAAGTACCTGCCTACGTAAGAAACGTAATCAAAAAGGACTGATAATATTGTTTTTCAGCGCGTGGAATATTTTTATCAAAATAATAGAAATAAATCCCTACTAGTTCTTTTTAGGTTTTCCCTTGACACGAAGATACTTAAAAATCTGGTATAAATCTATTATTAATTAAGATAACCGCCGAGATAATGATTTTTATCAGTATAATATGTTTTGCAATGAAATCGGCAAATAATGACAAGTGGTATTTGCAATACATTCAGCACGTGTTTAAGGAATGTGATAACGTTAAAGTTTTTGAATTGTTTCGACTGATAACATAGTACAGGTTGTAAACTAAATATTTGGACAAATACTATTGCAGTGATAGGGACAAAATTCTAATCAACCACCTATGGGGCCTCCTTTTAATTGTAATTCCCAGAAAGGCTTTCCTTAAATTGACATAGTCCAGTATCAATATACTCTTGCTCCTCAACATTGTAATTATTTATAAATGTTTTTTCTTTTTTTGTTTGTTCCTAGGATGCCGTAATTGACTGGGCCCGCGATCATCGGATGCATCACAAGTACTCCGAAACCGATGCTGATCCTCATAATGCGACTCGAGGTTTTTTCTTCTCACACGTCGGTTGGCTGCTGGTCAGGAAACACCCGCAGATCAAAGCTAAAGGACACACTATTGACCTGAGCGATCTTAAGAATGATCCCATTCTGCGCTTCCAAAAGAAGTAAGATGTCTATAATATTTATAAAACTTGACTTGATAATCCAAAATGTAAACATATTTTACTGAAATAGTTACTTTCTTTCAAAAACCCTTTTTTCCATCTTGTATTGAAACTATTATTTTTTTTATAGACACTACCTGATCCTCATGCCTCTGGTCTGCTTCATCCTGCCGTGCTACATCCCGACCCTGTGGGGCGAATCTCTATGGAATGCATACTTCGTGTGCTCCATCTTCCGTTACGTCTACGTATTGAACGTGACCTGGCTGGTGAACTCCGCTGCCCACCTGTGGGGTGCCAAGCCTTACGATAAGAACATCAACCCGGTGGAAACGAAACCCGTCTCTCTCGTAGTGCTCGGCGAAGGATTCCACAACTATCATCACACTTTCCCTTGGGACTACAAGACCGCTGAACTCGGAGACTACTCCCTCAACCTTACCAAATTGTTCATAGATTTTATGGCCGCTATCGGATGGGCATATGACCTCAAGACTGTATCTTCGGACGTTATCCAGAAACGCGTGAAGAGGACCGGTGACGGTAGCCACGCGGTGTGGGGCTGGGACGACCATGAGGTACACCAGGAGGACAAGGAATTAGCTGCAATTATTAACCCAGACAAGACTGAATAATCCAACCAGCCGTTTGATCAAACTTCATTAGATTGAAGGGTGTATTTGTATTATACCAAATGTGAGGGAAATGTGATACCACTAATATTATTTATTTTATTTATAATTCGCATTGATAATGGTTATCAAGACTTTTAGATTTAATTCTTAGATATTAAACAAATGATGCCCATCTGTTTTTCGTAGACAGAATACAATAAATAATCATAAAAAAAACCATTTGTTTTATATCACTACCTCTTTACCTGTGTATATTATGTAACTCCTTGATGTAATATCTGTCTGAAGGTATTTTAAAGTAAAATTCACTTACATAAGCTTGGAATTATTGAGTCACGTACCTATGTATGATGAATTATTGTAAAAAATCTATAAAGCCACTTATCTTGTTTGCAAAAAACTCGTCAATTACCTTCCGCTTAAAACATCACAACACACATAATTAGGTAGTTCTTTAACTCGTGTCATAGTTCAAACAGGACTTTTAATTGAATAACTTATAAATTTCAAGTTAATTTTATAAGTTATAAATTTCAGCTAACATTAAATTTTGTAACGTTTTAAATTGCTGCGCCCTAACAGGGTAATATACTGAATTAGTTGTATGTAATACTTCCTATTATATACACATAGTGCAATATGAATAAATAAATAAATAAATAACTTTTCGAGCATAGACAGTTTCAAACATATTTCTTATCACTCAGTTATATTAAACAACCGACCTTCAATACTTGATACATCAATTTTTATTACACTATTTGTCTTTCGTGTGAATCACGCAATATTTCTTTAAATCAGTCTGAGATTTGCATAACAACAGTATGTTTTGTTTACATTACAATTTATCTTCCAAGTCCACGAGTTTTAAGAATGTACTTACATCATCTTGTTTTTTCGTATCTATTTAGAGATTGCATTTCCTACAAAATCCGAAATATGGAAATTCGCCAAAGAACTAGAGTCACCGACATAACTCGAAATATCTTCTGACTGATGTGGTAATGGGCAGGCCACGTCGCTCGAGAGACTATTAGCAGATGGGCCAGGAAATTTCTTGAGAGGAGACCACGGACCGAAAGACGAAGCATGGGCAGGTCTCCCGCTAGGTGGGCCGACGACTCGCCAGAGTTGCGGGGAGCCTGTGGATGCAGGTTGCAAGTTGTTGTTCGAAGTGGAAGACTAAGGGGAAGGCCTTTGTTCATCAATGGACGTCTTCCGGCTCTTGATGATGATGATGATTTCCTACAGAGATAAGCTGTGATAGAAGAAGTTTTTTTTATGGCATAAGTCGGTAAACGAACAGACGGATCACCTGATGGTAAGCAATCGGCGTCGCCCATGGACACCTGGAACACCAGAGGCGTTACAAGTGCGTTACTTTGGCATTTTGGGGATTAGGAGTTTGAGCATCGTTGGGGATTCAGGGATTGGGGAAATTGGGGAAGGGGAGGGTAATTGGGTCTCCGGTAACCTTACCCACACGTCGGTTTTCTGTGAGGCCGTGGTATCACGCCGGTCGAGCCTTCCCATTCGTGCCGAAGCATGGCTCTCCCACACTTAAAAAGTTACAAAATCCTTATAATTTAGGCATTAAAATTGGTCCAGTACCACTACCTACCGTACCTACTAGTTTTCGTTGTATACCTATAAAATAACTTAAGCACGCTGTGGTTTAAACATTAGGATACTGTGTCATAGTTGCTATTTAGGTACCAGCCACCGTCATATGAAGGTAAAGAAAATGTTATGACGCTTAGGGTGTGCACGTAAACATCTATTTTTAAGCGACTTTGGTATAATCATGGGTTAAAAAGTCAACAAAGGTTACATACTACGTAATCCACCACAAGATCATAACCTACATGCTCTTTAAAGATCACACACCTATAATGCGCTTGTGTTTTGTTTTAGTTCAGAACAATGTACTTATGTACAGAGATCGCACAGCACATAGCAGCACAATTTTACAACTTTATCATTTTCTAATATAGTTAATTTTGCAAAAATACCCCCTCACCCCACTCATAGTAAAAAGTGAGTGAGAGTATTGCCGTTCTGTTAATATAATTCATGACTCAATATTATTATTATGATGAGAATAACCATATCATATCCAAGATTCGAAGCCAAGCTTGCTAGGCAGTTGCTTTACCAACATTCAAAAAGTATTGTAGAGAAATATTGTAAAAACGTACGGATATTTATGTTATCATTTGATAATATTTAGGTTATTCCTTCATTACTTGCATAATATGTTAATTAAAGTTAAAAAAGTTAAAATTAAAAAGCCACTATTATTTTTATTTTCTTATAATAACTATCGTGAGATATGCTAAATTAACCAGAAATCGCGGCTGCGCGACATCGCCGCGACCGCACACGCTGCTCATGAGGGAGAACCCCTCTGTGGTTCGAAAATGGTAGAGCTTTTCTCAGTATATTCACGCGAGTAACTCGCGATTTTTAGTTATTATTTTTATTGTTTCGGATCGAACAACCCACATGTTGCTCCTAGTTTGATTCAGATACACGAGGGTATCCAACGGGTATACATAAATTAACTCGTCGAGTACCGGTTTTGCAGACACAATTATAGAACAATAGGTTGCGGTCACCGGTGACCGCTTGGTGTTGGACAGTTTAATTCATGATATGTCTGCTAGTTTATTGCTTTATCCCAATAAATTATTATTTGTTTTGTGCTATCAATACGCTACGATTAACTCGTCGAGTACCGTCACTATAGACACAATTATAGAACAATAGGTTGCGGTCACCGGTGACCGCTTGGTGTTTGACAGTTTAATAGAGGCGAGTCTATATTGACATAACAGCTTCAAAACTAAAAAGATAAGGTTATAAGTGTACTTACACCTTTATAGTTCCAAATTCGTAGCCAAGTACGAAGCCCTGTCATTGTTGATTAATTGTGTGAGGTGGGCGAGCCAGGTTGATGACATGCATTATGATTATGACATTCGACACAACAAGGGCCACTCACCATATTACACTTAAGTGTAACACTAATACACGTGTTTTCATGAACGTAAAGCATGTAAAAAAACATTTTTCGGCCATCCCGCTGAAGCTCGAAAATTAATCTGATGGGCTGGAGGAATATTGAAACCTTTTTTATTACTGACTTTTGCTGATTCGGCTGATCAATAAAGAGCAAAAAACCTATTGGCAATTAAAATCAAAATAAATTCCTAAAAATAACTAGAAAAGAAAAGATGAAAAAACGAATGACACCTTATATCATTGAGGCTACGAAAATTATAATACTTTTCCTAAACATGAAATTTAGAACCCTATGATAAACTACGTCTGTTGTCATCCAAATAGAATTGATAAAGATGTCATCGAATATTTAATGGCGCGGAACTGCTAAAGCTGCAATTTAGTAGGTAATATAATACATAATTTAATACTTTAATTCTAATGTAGACAATCTAGTTTCCTTATGGCATCGAGCATTTCTTTCTTTATTGAAACAAAAAGTTTCCTTTTTCTTGTATAGAAGCACTATTTCTATGGATTGTCAGTGTGCATATGTGAGCACCATGTTAGACTTAAGATCTTTATTATTTTTATTTTTATTTTAGTAAGTTATTGGTATAATGCGTCAAGCCTGTCTTTGCATTGTTCTTACATATGCGTACAGTATTGAAATATGTATCAGAGACATTGTAGAACATACTTTTTTAATAGAGTAACGAATGGAGTTTCTTGCTCGTTCTTCTCCATTCGAATCTACGTTTTGGAATGAGCACCTAGCTTCACCTAGCTTCACTGACGGACTGACTGACAGACTATTATTTATTTTGTATTTGTTGACGTTTCAAAAGTACCAAACTATGGCTTAATTGAAATAAATGCTTTGACTTTGACTTTGACTTTAGGTACAAGGTATTTTTGGTCCTCTACAATAAAAATCATAAAAGTTATAAAAATCAGGTGGAAAGTGAATGTTACATTATAATGCACCTATGCCTACCCTTTCAGCTAACTTCAAAGCAGAAGCGGTTTCATTTTATATGACATAGTATGCAATTATCTTCTTCTTCTCGGTCGTTATTTTCATTACTGAAGAGTGTGTTTAGTCTGGTGCATGCGTCCCTTGATATACAACCCTTCTGCTAGCGCCTCAGTCCTCTGCGGTCTTTATAGCTTTTGGGACTGTCAGGCCGGTGATGTTCTTCATAATATCCTGCCCACGGGTAGGTAAACGACCGCCATTTCTTTTCCCATTAACCTGACCAACAAACACCAGCTTTTCTAGATTGTCGGGGTTTCTATGAACACTGTGAAAAAACTCAGTAAGTATTCGTTGCTTCGTTGCAATGTGCAATTATGGAAGTTTAATGTTTGAATGACTATCGCTATCCATCACTGTTTCGTAACTTATTATTTATTTCTATTTGTCATACCTAAGCAACGAGGACAAAATATTACAAAACTACAAATAGCTTTTTTACATTTAAGTACATTATTATCTTTGCGTATCGGAATTTGATGAAAAAGTAAGTACTTACCTACCTAGGCAAAAAAGTACTTTTCATAAATCACTGCTTCATCTTTTCGGTGGTGTCATACAGTATTTGTTAGCATGATAATTAGGAAACAATTGGCAAGTATATACACTGCATGTATATTTCGAAAATAATAATAAAAAATATTCAGTAGTGGGCTGAAATCGTATCCACAGGTTAATGATAAATAAAAATAAATGACATTTTAACACGAGCTTGCCATTAACTTATTACATCAAATAGTGCATATAATCAAATAATACATTTTATATTATTGACGCAATACATGCACATAAAAATATCACGTCCATTTACGCCAAAAAAACAAACATATATTACGGGACGTGTCAGTGTAATACAAACTCAACAAAAGTCATCATTTCATCAGACGAAAACTAGACGTAAACGAAGAGATTCTCCTCGCGCGTATATTATAACGCGGCATTCTACAACAAGCTGTAATTTCAATTAGGGGTGACCATGTGTCTGCACTGTATGGTTGCCGCCAATTTGACCGCTTGTTTAGATCAACTCAATTACTTTCATATTCAGGGTGTATGTTTTAAGGGCTACTGTTTTTTTTAATTTTATTGTTATTTTCAAGAGTTTTTTTTTGTAGATTGGCACCGCTTATTTTTTATTCGTTAAAAATAAGGACAAAAACATGTATTTCACTTTAAT